CACCAATACTCATCTTATTGGGACGTGATATTCCCCAGGCGCACAAGATCAGAGAGCTGAGAAATGGTCCTAACAGTGCACCATGGGGTCAGCGCCTAGACTTAGGTTGGGTCGTGGTTGGCAACATGTGCTTGGGAGGTGCCCATCAAAAGGAAGATATTACGTCGTGCAGGACCCAGGTTTTACTAAATGGGCGACCATCTGTGAATTTCGACGCTTGCCAAAATGCAATTAAAGTGAGCAACCTTGGAAATCTGTCTCTTATACACATCTTGATCCATACTTAATATACAGTATAACTTGAGGTGGATATCATTTAAGGCGTTATTTGCCATATAATTTTATGTTTTCATAGTTACGCTCGAGTACATGAGCTTAGTAAAATTTGTTATCGTTACGCTCGAGTTGTGATTCGAGCGGTGTCAAGTCGAGCGCAATTATTGAGGGCGCTTTATTATGATATAACACAAAATAATATAGAGATAGCTCGAGTTTTGAGCTGTACAGTTTGTTCAACATGTATTTTCTTATCTGCTTGCTTTACAGTTACCGTGTTTAGTATGCAATAAATCCTGAGTGAAATTGCAAGTATATGTACTTGTTTTTTGTTGTGTGCTGAACCAGTTAGCTTCCTGGATAGCGACATACGAGAAGTCGCGAGGCCAGCACACATACTCTTCATTATAAGAGGACTACTACAGTAAGACTAGTCGGTGTTGCATGATGCATGGTAGGCCTACTCGAGCCTTGGACATATCGCTTACAGCAAAATTTAAATTATGCCGTGTCCTGGCTCAAATTATGCCATTTGGGCTAAATTATGCCAAATCTGCAAAAAAAAGCATCGCCAACAACAATTGCAGGTCTACTCGCGCTAAATAAAGCGTACTCGCGCGAATAAGCGCATGGGCGCTTATTATTTTTGCAATGCGCTTATTCAAATGGGGCGCTAATTCGAACGGGGCGCTTATTAAAGCAGAGCGCTTATGGAAATAGATGAAAATCAATAGGTTATTATGACAACTTACTAAATTCAAGAGGCACATTTTGAATGAAAACTGATTAGGCCTATATAAGGACATCAGGAAATGGCAAATTACGAATGGTGGTGCGGCGGAAAAAATAATGTTCCAGAGAGCATGGCTTGTTATGACAAGAATGTTGCGAGTACATTATTACATAACAGCAGAATAGCAGATGAAATTAGTGGTGGTGGTAGTTACTTGTAGGCCATTGGCCGATGGAGATTAGTAGAATTGCATGAACATTGCAGGTTTTCTCAGATGAGAATGTGTTGTTACGTACAAATTGTCCGAAAAGCAGTAGGACTAGGCAATAGAAAAATGCAAGAAGATGAAAGTTATTATTCGAGAGGGGCGCTTATTCAAAAGGGGTGCTTATTCGCGCGAGTACGGTATACACCCTTAAGGTTGAAAAATCTATATATTGCCCAAGCATAAAAGCTGTTTTTTTTTTTAATCGGGGTCGGGTGGGATTTTTTTTTTTTTTTTTTTTTTTTTTTTTTGCTGTCTATACAGGCCTATACAACATGCCTTACAAATAATATAGGCCTATATTTGTTTTTTTAATACAATTTAGGTGGATGTGATTGCACCACGGTCAGCATCCGCCACGAATTTTTGGCCTATGAATATTTTGGCCTCTGGAGCACTGTCGTTTATTGAACGGTTTGTAATTTTTTACATATGTCGTAAAATATAAACTATTTAAAAAAATCACATCATTGAACTATTCAAGTAATGTATGAGTTCATAATTATTCACTATGACTGTGAAATAAAAAAAAAATAAATTAACAAGCTTTTAATAATGTATATATATGTGCACTCGTTTAGCATGAATGCCTATCTTAAAACCCATAGTATATTTTAATGTATTGAATAACGGTCCAAACCTAAATGGCCGGGCTTAACGTAAGCCTGGCTTATCTCCAAGTCTGAACGTAGCTTAAGTTGTATAAAAGGCCTGAGAGCCAGATGGTTTTAACTAACACTATATTGTTAATCCAAGCCAATGTAGGTAATTTAATTGTGTTTATTGTTTGATTATTGTCTTGTATATTTCTTTTGGCTAAATAAAGAATGAATGAATGAATGAATTCCGAGTACCCTTTGCAGTTTCGCATTACTGTATCCACAGATCCTATATACAACGGATTAGAAGCGAATGTTTTTTTGTGAACCAAGGCCACCGCGACAACAATAATGAATGTTTATGTTCCACCACAGGTTACACATTCACAAACATTACTGTATTGTAGAACATACCCTCGCTTGTGTATCACACTTTCTTAAGTGTTTTTTTAATATAATACTTTCCATGAAACATATACCAACGAAAAATAAAAAGGTGTCAGCTTTTGGAAACACTACCAGAGTTTTCGTTGTTGATTAGCTTTGAGCCGAGTATATATCTGGCAGCCATCGATTGATTGTCAGGTAGACTTGGGTGTCATTTTGTTTAGAACGACCAAGAAGTTTACGTCGTTCTCTAAACACCTTGTTTGTTTATTTGTTTGACACCTTTCTCCACAGGCATGTAAAACGGCATGTCCTTGTGTTCAAGTCACTTACAATAGGGTACGAGCGGCTTTAGAAAGTGTGTACCGGCAAATTAACTGGTAAACAGCACGGATATTTTTTCGCTCGAACGGGCCCTAAGAAGGAAGTTAAAGGATTTATTAGACAATGATGAACAGAAAGTAGTTCTAAGATCTACATACCAGGATATCCTATCTTTAAATTGCTCCGGACTGCGTATTAGGTTTGCTTTCCAACGACAAACTTTTTTATATTTGTATTGCAATACTAATACTAAACACACAAGGAAGTAACTGTAAAAACTGTTGTATAATAATTCAGTGCTCAGTCTGAATGTGGAATCCAGATTCATTAATTCTGTTCGGAATCAGTGACAGTATAGGAGAAAACGACATTGCTAAAAGTCACAGATTTTTAGACCTACCAAGGAGTAACATCGTTACAGCTGTTGACTTGAAGATGTACGGTACAGCATGTAGGTGGATTTTTATTCAAATTGCTACACAAGTCTGCTTGTACCGAATTACGGAATCTACAGGTAAGTGTAGAGTTATTATGTCGAAAATCCGTCAAAATTTCATTTATGTTATTAATAGACACACCACAAAACGGAAAACGCTTATAATGCATTGCATGACATTGCCATTTATAATACTGAAAAATGAAGTTTTAAAAACCAGAAATAGGTTAGCACCAAAGCCGGAGCCAGCTATTGAAAAAGTTGGGACAGTCTCACACTTTTTTTTTTTTTTTTATGTTGGGTCAACAAAGAATGGGTCCACATTTTTAAAAATGGGTCAAAATTATGCTGTTTATGCATAACATAAGTTTAATTATTTTTTTAATTGGGTCTAGATTGTTTATATTTTGGGTAAATTTGGTCAAAATTTAGGAAAATTGGTCCAGATTATTCCTATTTTTGCGTAAAATGATTAACCTTTTAAGTAAATGTGTCTACATTATTTGAATTTAAGCCTAGAGTTAGATCAAAAGAATCAATTGTGTATGGTGAAACTTCCAATTTTCTATAAAAAAAAACAAAAAAAAACAAAACACTAAAATACATTGGATCAGTGGATGGATGGATCAAAACTGTTATATACTACAACACAAAAAATACAAAAAAACAAAATGGGGTACATACATATAGGCCCACAGTATAATACACAATTAATAAAATGTTTAACATAAAATGATTATTTATATATTATATATTGAATTTAATTCTGTTCGGCTTTAATATGCTAGAAATTGCCATGATATACTATTATGTTACATTACAAAGCAATACAAAATTACAGTACAAGATATTATAACAAAAATAAGGGATAAGGAAAGGGATTGAAAAGGTGAGTTGATATTGGCCTACCTGTTGAGAGCCCGGTTTATAATAAAAGGGATATAGGGAGGGTCAAAAGGCAGGGCGTATACAAGGGCAAAGAAATGTGTAAGGAATGATGTTTCAAAGTGGGATGTACAAAAAGGCACAGGAAGAATGACATTATTGTAAGAATTAAACTGTTTAAATATGGTATGTAAAGTAGAATACGTAGATGAGTCTGAAATTAAATTAGAAAAAAAAGTATTCAATAATTTTAGTAAATTAACTTTACACTTTGGAAGTTCATAAGAAATTAAATTAAAATATATAACATTTTATTTTATTAGAAATCAAAATACGTAATTATGATATAATAAAAAAATTGCACATAGCCTAAAATGCTACGGCAAGACTAAACAGGTGAATTTGCTTTGTCAAATGGCATATAAACTAATACTTTGATCAAAATAATGACTTTACTGTCGATATATACGGGACCGTTTTGGTCGTTTTAGCTGTTTTAGCATTGTTATGCAATCACGCATATTATATTTATGTGGTTTAACTCACTATAAGACTATGTAAAAAAAAAACAATTATTGATTGTTTGCGTACAGGGTTAGAGTGTATAAATTCCAACTCATCAAACCGATTTCCCTCTCCACCACCCCCGGGCTGCTTACACCGTAAGTTCGAAGTGTTCTACCCTATAATAATATCAGTTAGTTTACTTTAAGATTGACGCAGAGTATATCTAGACTCAAGACATTAAGAAATTAAATTAAGAAACTAAGTTACTATAGGAAGTTGTAAGTCTTAGTTTAGTTAGCTTAATTTAACACCGCCGGCTACTTTCGAATTGTTCCCTTTACAGATTCCGAGGTACACTTAAGTATAACCTGTTTCCGTCACCTCAGTACTTCCGGGTTAGACACAACCTCCTATGAGTGCACACAATACTGTAATAATTTTTGTTAGCTATGCTCTGCTATAACATGTTGCTTTTAACTTTCTAAGGGTTATAATGCCAGGGGCGGCGCTAGCAGAGGTCCAAGAGGGCAACGGACTCCCCGTCGGAGACACCTAGACCCCCGCTTAGACCGCTGTATGGGAATTTTAAGCGTCAGGGAAAGATCAAATCTCGAGCACGGAAAGTACAATTCAGGCATTCCTTTATAATCTTTTAAATTGTAGAGATTCAAAACTGTTTAGTGTGTACAGTGCTCCGTATGTGCGAGGTGTTTCGGTCGTATGGGTTGCAGTGGTCGCGCCAGCGCTTCTCCGAGGGGCTAGTACCTCCTACAGGGGATTAGTACCCCCGATGGGGAGACTCTTAACTTGCATGGTTTTCTATCAAATTATGCATTTTTAAATAAAGAATCCCATTATTGACACAACATTTTATTATATTTTAATTTAAAAAAAAAAGAAAATACTGTAGTAATAATTTTCCACGACGGGTGGGAATCGCAAGGCTTCCCCGACTCAGTATTCGGTCCCAACGTTCGGGTGTGGACCCCCTTGTAGGAGAGCTTGGACACCTTGTCGGGGAGTTTCTGGCGCCACTAGTGCAAACATGACTCCGGTAAAAATGGCCCTGGTAGGGAAATTATTATAATGGTTAAAGGGTATATTGTTAAACCCACAAACCTCCTAAAACCAAACCATGTAATTGTGATTGACTCACTTGGTATATCAACAAGAACATGAAATAAATTCATATGAACCTTTTTTTTTGGATAGAATGTTAATTATTTTATTCATTTTTTTTTTACTTAAACCTATTTAGACTTATATTCATATAATTTGTGTATTTTTATATGGCCTATATTTAATTTTCTCACTTTGTCCTCACATTTGTTTTGTCTCTTCTTTGTAATGATTTCATGAAAAGCAAAAAATAATTGCTTACACGCTGCGTCATAGGCTATTCCAGCTATGGGACCACATGCATAATTAATAGGCCTATTAGTTTTTCTTTGTTTTTTTGTTATTCAGTAAGTAGTACTCTAAAATAATATGGTATTTCAATTCATCTTGTGACATTACAAAATCATCTATTTTTGTGTAAGATCCACTGGACATAACATTCTACTCAGGATCACCACACAGTTCGAATGTCCGTGGATACGCGCTTAACGACAGCAAAACAACAGATTTGTCAATCGGTATATTAAACAAGAATAACAAGGACAATGTAACCTGGACTGATACTGGATATTCAGGTGGCAACACAGTGCGTGAAGAACAAACGAACATGCCAGAAAATAAAATATTTGACACACCAAGCAACATAGCATACAGGATTCATGACGATTTTTTTTATCTCGGTGTTAACAATTTACAAAGCTCTCAAACAGTCGGCGTGTTTTCATTTGAAGCTACTAAGTCTACAGTGGTAACCAGGTCGGCAATTGTTGTGACGTCATTATTAGGTGAGTACATAACGACTCTTATCATTTTACAGCAGTTTTATATGAATATTTTTAGATTGGGTGCAGTAGGAAATTAGCTGGAAAAAAGGAAAGGAAAATTTATTTTTGGTTTTTCTGAATCAGTATATCATATACTGTCTCAGAAAAAAAAAATCCTACTCTTAGAGCTTGGGCAACTTTTTTATAGCACTTTGAAATTTTACTACTTTAAAAATAATAATATTTATATATATTCTATATGTGTACATTGCTTTGATAAGATTGTATTTTATACTTTGAGAAAAATAATAATAATAATAATAATAATAATAATAATAATAATAATAATAATAATAATAATAATAATAATAATAATAATAATAATAATAATAATAATAATCTTTTCCCCGCCAAGATGAACGCCATCTTGGAAATTGGCATTATGATCATTTTATTCAAATTTGATAAAGACAGTAAAGAGTAACTAGTTAACTAAGTTTATTTTCTATTTTCACATTTACAGCAAAACTAGAAGTAACTCAAATAATACCATAGTTTTTTTTTCAATTTATCCCGATCCGAGTCCAGAAATTGAATTGGTGGGTCTTTCAGAGCAAAATTTCGCTATTTCTTTTTCCAGTGGGTTTATATTGTCATAGATAATTATATATATGTTTTATTTTATTGCTGTATATATATATATATACCTGTCTCTTATACACA